GGGCTGATGTTGGACTGCAATCCTCAGATCTTAGCCTCTGAGTAGCTAGGATTAGAAATGTAGGTCTTCAGTGCCTGATAAAAGCATCGATTCTAAAGTTTCCAGTTCAAGCCCAAGTTTCTCTTAGTACTAAACCTGTGCATTCACATGTGTGTATCATGAACATCTCAAAGAAAACTTACTATCCTGATTTCTTTGCAAAGTTGCTTCTCTTCCTACCTTCCCATGCTCTATTTCATCTACCCAGTGGGGTAGATTAGTTTCTGGTGTGACACATTCTTGGCACATTTGTAAATATATTTATTACATGTTACTTAGTAATACAAGGCTGAGTTGCTTCCCACCCCCCATAGGCCCTCTTCTTAAGCCAGTGGCTTGAATAATGTTACCAGAAAACTTTATGTTTTATTGAATAACATCCATTAGGTACTTTGCACATAGTGTGTGCTCACTGGCACCCTTTCCGTATAGTCGATATGAAGCATGTGTGGTCTTTGTTCCTGATTTCTGTCCTGGAGTTCCTCAAACCTCTAAGTGACAGGTATCACAGAATTATATAAAGTTGGTGAATAAAGTAGACACATTAAAGAATAAACAATGCTGGGGGTGTGGCTCAGGTAGTAGAGTATCTGCCTAGTAAGTACAAGGCCCTGAGTTCAAACCCCAGTTATTGACAAAAAATAGAAGGGGAATGGGAATATGAAATATGAACTATCTAATCTAGAGACTCTGCTCCTAATTACTAGACCTATTACCCTATGGGTATACAGAACAAAACACAACAATAACAAAAAGTAGACACACTCTTAATGGGCCCTCTAAGGACATCTGAGTTTATGCTAATGGGACAATCTAGGTTGGGGCCCCTAGACAACCTCAGGATGAGGCCAGTCTCCAGAAAGGCCAGATGATTACAGGATTAGAGGTTTGGAATTTTCAGTTCCACTCACTCTTTGGGAAGCAGAGGGGGTCAGGGCTAGGGATCAAGCTCTATAAAAAAACTTGGGAACAACACGACTTAGATGCACTTCCTAGTGACTGAACAGGTGGGGTACTGGGAGGTGCTCAGAGGAATTCTGCACTCCCTGCCTCCCTGACCCTAATTGTGTCTTCATCTGGCTGGGATTTGAACTCAGAGCCTAGGCACTATCCCTTAGCTTGTTCTCATAAGACTGGTGTTAATTGGAGATGAGGGTCCCATGAACTTTCCTACCTGGGCTGGCTTCAAATGGCAATCCACAGGTCTCAACCTCCTGAGTCACTATCCCTTTTATTTTATTTTTTTACATACTTTATCATAACCTGGTAAAGTAAGAGTTAGCCCAAGTTTCCTGCACCATTCTAGCAAAATAGTGGAACCCAAGGAAATTCTTAGTCTATAGCTAGTTGGTGAGAAATATGGGAGGCTCTGACTTACCCTTGGAAGCAGAGCCCTCAACTTGTGGGATCTGACATCTCTCCAGATAGTCTCAGAACGAAATTATTAGATACCAGTCAGTATCTGTTGTGAATAGCTTGCTGTTAGTGGAAAACCACCCACCCATCTGACCACAGAAGTGCTCTGTGTTGACTGAGTAAGAGCAGAGAGTCAGAACTAAAATTTTCTTTTTTCTTTCATTTGATATACATTCCAGTTTTTTTTTTTCAAGAGGCAATGACCTGCAGGTCTTTATTCTAGAATACGAAGGGCCATGTTGTATCCACCCACTCCCAAATTTTATGCTTTCATTAATGAGGTCCCTCCATAGTCTTTTTCATTACACAGAGCTTTTGAAAACAGGTCAAACCCAGGAGATTCTTAAATTTGTTCCCCTCCCTCCCCCCCCTACATTCCAGTTTTGTATCGGCAGTGTTTGTAAGTGGTATTTTTTTCTTGCCTTCTCTTCTCTTTCTTTCAATTGAAAAGATGCTAGTTTTGCAACTAAAGAAAATATTTTGTCAAAATCCTGCTATACACACCATGCCACTCCCCTCTTTTGTCCATCTGTTGACTTCTTGATCCAGTGCAAACTTCTAAATACAGCTTCCAAAGTCTTATGTGAGTGAGCGTTAGTCTAATTATAAAGCTTGATTGCTTGCCCGGCTGCCTCCACACACACATCCCACCCTGGCAGCTCCATACCTTTGTCAGATCTTAGAGGCAGTTACATGATGTCTTTGCTTACAGAGGACTTTTTCTTTCTGTGTGTGTGTGTGTCTGTGTCTGTGTTTGGAGACCTTCCTTTCCCTGCCCATTCACACTCTGGATACCTGTCAAACTATCAACTATTGTTTCTCAAAACTTAGTCTTATTAGCTGGGCGCTAGTGGCTCATGCCTATAATCCTAGCTATTCAGAAGACTGAGATCTGAGGATCATAGTTCGAAGCCAGCCTGGGCATAAAAATCTGTAAGACTCTTATCTCCTATAAACGTTACTCAAAAACAACATGAAGAACAACAAAAACAACCAGAAGTGGCACTGTGGCTCAAATGGTGAGTGCCAGCCTTGAGCACAAAGAGGCTCAGGGACAGTGCCCAGGCCCTGAGTTTAAGCCCTAGGACTGGCAAAAACTAAAAACTTAGTCTTCCTCCAATCTTCTTATCGAAGTCTCCTAAGAGTGAACATGGAGTTGGGTGCTGGTGGCATTGCCTGTAATCCTAGCTACTCAGAAGGCTGAGATCTGAGAATCACGGTTCAAAGCCAGCCTGGGCAAGAAAGTCCGTGATATTCTTATCCCCAATTAACCACCAGAAAACCAGAAGTGGCGCTGTGGCTCAAGTGGTAGAGGACTAGCCTTGAGCTGAAGAATTAAGGGACAGCGCCCAGGCCCCATAGTTCAAGCCCCAGTACTGACAAAAAAAAAAAAAGTTAATATGTTTTGCTTTGCCACCTCTTATCCTTTTAGGCATTTGTTACTCTGGGCACTTGTGTTTATTTAGCTCATCTTATCTCAAGAGGCTACAAACTTGTGGGCAAGGACTGGGCTTTTGTTTTGCATATAGGAGATGCTCAATGAAATTGTAGCTGAAAGGGGCTGGGAAGATGGCTCAGTGGTAGAGTGCTTGCCTTGCATGCCAGAGGCCCTGGGTTCAATTCCTCAGCACCACATAAGCAAAAAGAAAAAAGCCGGAAGTGGCGCTGTGGCTCAAGTGGTAGAGTGCTAGCCTTGAGCTAAAGAGCTGAGGGACAGCGTCCAGGCCCAGAGTTCAGACCCCATGACCGGACCCCAAAAACAAAACAAAACAAAACAAAAATTGTAGCTGAAGGCTGAAACTATAGTTTGGTGGGAGATTGCCTGACTAGCATGCCCAAGGCCTTAAGTTCAAACTCCAACCTTGCAAAACAAAGAAACAAAGATAAAGGATGGGAAGGAAATAAAGGAAGGATGGGAAGGAAATAGGCCCTCATTTTCCACCCCTAAAAAAAAGACTCAGGTGCCGGTGGGTCATATCTGTGATCCCAGCTACTCAGGAGGCTGACATCAGAGGTTCAAAGTTCAAAGCCAGCCAGGCAATAAAGGCAATGAGACTCTGATCTGCAATTAATTACCAAAATGCTGGAAGTGGATCTGTATGTGAGTCTAATAGTGGAGCACCACCAAATACCAAAAAATACCAAGGGCCAACACTCAGGCCCTGAGTTCAAGTCCCAATACTAGAAAGAAGAAAAACAAATTTGGGGTAAAGTAAGAAGAAATTGGTTACAATAAAAAAACTATATTTTTGTATTTTAATGTTTTT